TACATTTCATTACTCCAAATGCTCTGCTAGCTCAAGATATTTGAGAGCATTTACAGAAGCAGAAAAGTTGAAGAGAGGCCCAGAAGGGTTGTGGAGTCCCTCCCTTCTCTAATTCCTTTTGCTACCTTCTAGCAGCCATTTTATAAGCATCTCTTTATAGGAAATGCTCCCCTACGTGACACAGATTTTCTCTCATGTGTGATCTATTTCCTGCCATTTTTCCTGCCACAAAGCCTTTTCTTTCTATAGACACTGGGGTAGAAGATGGTGTGTGTGTGTTTCTGCATATGTGCCAGCATGTGTCATTGCAATAATGTTCTGCGGAAATAGATTATAACGTATTAAATAACAGAATAACAGAGTTGGAAGTGACTTCGGAGGTCTTCTAGACCAGCTCCCTCCACAACAAGAAGACCCTACACCATTCCAGACAAGTGGCTGTCCATTCTCTTCTTAAAAGCCTCCAGTAATAGAGCACCTTCAACTTCTGGAGGCAAGCCGTTCCACTGGCTAATTGTTCTCACTGTTAGGAAATTTCTCCTTAATTCCAGGTTGCTTCTCTCCTTGATTAGTTTCCCTCCATTGTTTCTTGTCTTGCCTTCTGGTGCATTGGGAAATTGGTCGACCCCCCCATCTTTTTTTGTGGCAGCCCCTCAAATACTGGAGCACTGCTATTCTATCACCCCAATCCTTCTTTTCACTCGATTAGGCACACCCAATTCCTGCAACCATTCTTTATATGTTTTAATCTCCAGCCACCTAAACATCTCTGCTGCTTTTTTCTGCACTCTTTCCAGAGTCTCTACATCTTTTTTTATAATATAGTGACCAAAACTGGATGCAGTATTCTAAATGTTCTTCCCACTTTTTCTCTTCTCTCTTACCAAAGCCACAAAAGAAATATAATGGAAAAAATATTCTGACCAGAATCTCTTGGTTGCTTCAGATAATGATCTCCAAAAGTATGACTAAATATTCTTTTACTAGTCTGTACAATCAGAAATGATAATTTACGAAATCACAATATCCTCATTTCAATATGAGAGAACTAGGTAATCAAACCAGGAAAGTTCATGTGATGTCCAATATTGGTAAGTTAATAAAGTGAGATAACCTAAGATATATAACAATTTTAAAGCTGTCTTACCATCATGGAATTTTAGACATACTTAAACCTGGTTTTGTAGAAAATATGGAGGTATGCCTGCTTGCTCTGCTCACCTGGTTTTAAAGGAGAAGTGGAGCTGAACTTACTAGCATAGTACTTCATGGCATTGTGGCATAGTACATTAGGATTTCTGATTAAATGTAACATCCAAAGATGGCCAAGGACTCCTGATGATATCACAGGTTTTATTTACAACTATGCTTAGGTACTATATAAAAAATGAGTGAAACTCATAGGAGACTAACTTGAACCAAAATTGTAGCGCATGTCTGATATTCAGAAACATAAACAATGAAATGATGGAGATACCATCTCCACAGTTCAAAGACAAAGTAACAGGAGAAATTGTCTCTGAGATTTTGTTCAGTTATTTTCTTTGGAACTTTGGTATATTCATAGGAAGGTGTCAAAAGAGGGTAGATGTGATGCAGAATCAAAAAACATACAAAAGAGCTGGGACTTGTGTTGCAAAACTGCATCCTCCATCTTGCCTTTTTTAAATCTCCCTCCCATGGATATTATTATTTGACATATTGTTTTAAGACAATTGTTTGCTTGCCTGGCAAATAAATGCATATGTATTATTCATTTGAGAAAAGGGATCCAGACTCACAAGCAGTAGTTTATTATGAAATGAATATTGCATCTTTCATTCTAGTAATAAAACTTCAGTACCGTATATTGTTGCTGAGAAAATGCAACTTAACTTCCTCAGTCTAATACTTTTAATTCCAATGCAATTGCTGTGATTAAAACAAATTATCACAAAGATGAATTCTACATTACTTCAAAAGTATAGAAAAGCTACAGCATTTAAAAAAAAAATCTGAACTAAGCATGGGGCCCTAATATAATTCAAGATCTTAATTTGTGTAGGGGAGAGGTAGTTTGATCTTCCCCATGCCTATAATTTAAACTGTCCAAAAAGAGCTTCATTCAAAAAACAACATTTGAATCATTTCTGACAATAAAAATCTCAAGCAGCCCTCCTCCCAATCTAGATCAGGGCTATAATGAGAAGTAATATATTAAACCATCACAGTTTGCTTGCTCCTGGAACCTCTTCTGGTTTGGGTCATCTACAGCTCTTGCTAATATTTATTTGATGTAATTTAATTCTTCTGCAATGCATGTGCTCCATTTAGGAACCTTTTCTCTTTCTGTTCTCTCCCCTTTAAACCTATCTCCAGTATCTCAGTACACCTCATGATTTGCTGATTGAGGAGGGAAAATAGAATAGCAAATCACATAGTCCATGTGCCCTGAGTATGGATAGAGTTTCAAACTCTGTTATAATACTACCATTAGGGGAGGCAGTTGTTGCTCATCTCAATAAAATCTGAGACTGTATATTGCTTAAGTATTTGAAAAAAAAGAGTTATTGTTAAATCTAGGCATGTCTTAGCTCCACCTGTACAATGCCAGAGAAAGGTATTTCCTGGAAGACTGAGATAAGAGCCTCTGATTTTTCTCCAAGGAAGATTAAAGTATAACAATAATAAATAAACTCACTTAAATTTTGAACTGGTCCATTAGTCTCAATTTTGTGCTAAGTTGTTTTATTCTTTCTCAAATATGCAGCATAGTAACTACCCACTCCACTATATCCCCCTACTTACCAAGGCCTTCTTCGGACATCATACAGGTCAATCTTATTGGGGGCTCTCCATGGGGAGGCTGCAATGAAAAAAAAGCAGTAAAAATATATAATATAATGATTTTTGAGGTATCAAATGTGTTGATATGAGGGAACTTGAGGAGTGAAAGAGAGAGAGAGCAAAGCTGACATGGAAAGATTTCTCTGCCAAAAGTGGTATTAAGCAACAACAACACTGGAAAATGTGAAACTGGGAAGAAAAGCAGCTGTAACTTTGTGTTATTCAAATACTTATTATTGTCACAATGTACTGGACCTGAAAGAAATGTGTCTAAAGCTCGTATTAATCTGAAATATTTGAAGTTTTTTGGGTTTTTTTGCACACTTCAAACACTGTTCTTTATTTTGAAACATGTGAATTAGAAAGCAGTTAACATTTCAGCCAAACACATCTCTTTTGTTTCTCCCTCCTTTGAAAATACACATTTTGCTATTTTGATAAATAATCACAAGGTGTATATAGTAGTAGTAGTAGTAGTAGTAGTAATAATAATAATAATAATAATAATAATAATAATAATAATAATAATAATAATAATAGAGTTGGAAGGGACCTTGGAGGTCATCTAGTCCAATCCCCTGCTCAGGCAGGAAATCCTATACCATTTCAGACAAATGGCTGTCCAGTCTCTTCTTAAAAACTTCCAGTGTTGGAGCATTCACTACTTCTGGAGGCAGGTTGTTCCACTGGTTAATTGTTCTAACTGTCAGGAAATTTCTCCTTAGTTCTAGGTTGCTTCTCTCCTTGATTAGTTTCCATCTGTTGTTTTTTGTCCTGCCTTCAGGTGCTTTGGAGAATAGCTTGACTTCCTCTTCTTTGTGGCAACCCCTGAGATACTGGAACACTGCTATCATGTCCCCCCTCGTCCTTCTCTTCATTAAACTAGACATACCCAATTCCAGCAGCCTTTCCTTATATGCTTTGGCCTCCAGTCCCCTAACCATCTTTGTTGCTTTTCTCTGTACTCTTTCTAGAGTCTCAACATCTTTTTTACATCGTGGTGACCAAATGAAGGGCATTACTGGGCTTCCCAGTTTAACTGGCAGTTGGACCGTGGGACTTTTGACAGAACTTTTCTATTCTTGCCTCAGAATTCTTTGAAGATTCATATGAATGATATGTTTATTGCCATTTATATTTTTCATACTTCTCAGGAACTCAGAATAGCATTTTCAAGCAGAGAAAATATGACTTTATCAAAGCCAGTAGGTCTGAGAAAGCAGTCAGCAGCCTAAGAACTTCAAATAGGTTTGCAATCCAAATTTTTATGGCCAGCAGAATACCCGAGGCTCTGCTACTGAAAACCAGGGGATGAATACTGAAAATGAATGGTGTGATTTCTCACCATTTTTATAAGGTTGATGCTGTAGTGTAATCCTTACAGAAGGATTAGCATGGTATTTTAAAAGGCTTCACATTCCACTTCATAGATTATTATTGCTAGGAATTGGCCAGCATTCAAATTACTTGGTTAATTAATTAATTAAACAAACAAACAAACAAATATGAACCTCAGTGTCCTAGTTCTCTCTAAATAAATGCAAGTAAGGTTAGGAAACAAAAACCACTGGGTCTTCTGCAAAGAACTTTATTGCTAGTACAACAAAATCCAGGCTCTTGCAAGCCCACTCCAGCACTTCTCCAGATCATCCTGCACCTACTGAAATTAAGGCAGAGTTGCTTTGGGTCTCTTTCTCATGCTACCTCCTCCCCTGGGCTGAAGTGATTCTCCAGTGGTGGGCTGATTTCCTTTCCTTTCTTCCTGGGTGCTGCTAGACCTTCAACTCCTCAAATCCATGATATTCACCATAGACATCACCTCTTTGATGTCTAAGACATCACCACTTAATGATAAGTGCTTCCAAAAGAACCATGGGCAATGCCCCGACTGTCAGATTTAAAGTAGGTCCAGCGGACACCGCATTTTAATTTGCATAACATCCCTAATGTGGTCCAGGTCAGTGTGGAAATTAAAATAGTAGTTGGCCAATGTATAAAAATCCCAGATATTTTGTGAAAAGGCAGGCAAATAAAAGGACACAAGCCTTGCTGATTCCCTAAAAGTTGCCCATGGATGTCATAAGTTACCTCAAATGTTTGGTGGTTGGCAGAGCACAAGAGGACCAATCAACCTCTTTCTCTGACATTGCTACCATGTGAAGAGAATAAAAAAAGATGACCTTGATGGAAATATGCAGGAACTGTTAGCTAGGCAAAAGGGGCAGAAGCAATTTTAATGAGAGAATATTAGAAAATGGTTCAGGTACATGCCTCTCTAATTCACTGGTGTATAAGAAAAAGGAGGAGAAAGATTCTGATACTGTAGCCAGGCTCAATAAAAGTACGTTTAACCTTCCTGTGGGGTTGATTTCAAGGTCTGATCTACTTAGTGGGGCTGGCCATACCTTGATATCCGGAATCAAAAGGGAGGGCAGAGAAATAAAGAAGGCAGAGACTTCATTATTATCTAGCAAAGAAGCTTTTATCTATCCTATTAGGAAGAACAGTAACAATGGCCCTTCCCTAACAATGAGTGGCCTAGGATGATTAGGAAAGTAGTGCACTTTACTTCTTCTAATGTGAAAGCCATGACTGTGCTTCTACTCCTACTGTAAAAGCTCTGTCCTCAAATCCCAAATGTTTAAATGCAATGCCACTGTTCAAATTATATTTTCATTCTGTTAATTGAGAATGGCACAAACCTGGATAGAAGCGGGTTACCCCTGTAGCACTGCCAAAGACTTGCCACAGCAGAGACGAGTCTTCTTTTCTGTTTTCCACAAACACATCCTCTAAGGCTTCTGTCCAATTCAGTTCATTGAGAATTACAGTGGCTGCAAAAAAGAGGGAACAAGTTTAGTGTGCTTAAGGTCTAGAGACCTCTTTGACAAATGTGATTGTTCTCTGCCAAGGAAAGAATGCGAGTTGCTTTTGTGAAAGGATATATGCCCTCCATTAGCAGGATATATTCACTCCATTAGGAGAGCTGTGAAGAGTGACATCAGCTGAAGGATTGTTCCTGGCAATGCCCAGCATCTCTTGTGGAGCTGATTATCATCAATTTGTCACAACAATATAGCTGCATGCAAGCTATCTCTCTTCAGTGGGACCATTCCTTGACCTCTTGTTTATATTGCTTATTTACAGAACACTTTTCTATCAGAGATGGAATAGGAAGTGCCTAATAGTAGTAAAAACAAAACAAAACCTGAAAGGAACTAAAAGCCAAATAAGAATGTATCCCCCAAAAGGCCACTTAAAACTTGATTAAATTAAAACAGAATTTAAAATTCAACACAGCAGAAAAAAAACAAACCAAGTCTGTAAGCCAGGCACCTGTTTAAAGGTAAATGTTTTTGCCTGCCATCAGAAGGCCAGCCATGAAGGACACTATCAGCGCTATTATCAAGGTAATGATTTCATGAAAAATACCATGCATAAATGGGTTTATATAATCAAACATCAACCGAAGTATTTATTAAGAGCAGTGATAATCAATTGACTGTGTCTGAGACGAAGTCCAAAGAGACATGGGTGGTATAAATGATTTAACGCATTAGATTTAATAACTATGTAGCAAAACATTATATACAGAACCAAGTGAGATGCTCTTAGACTAGAATAAGTTGAAACGGAGAGCTTTTGTTTGTTGGTTCTAAAAGGATATAACCATAAAATATAAAAACATTTGACAGTGTGTACAGTAAGGAATTAGTTTTCTGTCATAGTACAATTTGTGATGTGGCTTATATAATGTAATATAACATGATTATAACATAATATAATAATATACACAGAGAGATTAATAAAAGAGATTACCTACAAAGTAGCTATAAATTATCAAAATTTGAACTGAGCCCTCCCACCAGATGTAATAATTTTGAGGGTTGTGCAATGTTCATCTGAGACTTGGAAGAGGATGGGGAAGTGCTATCTGATAACTCAACCCACATCATCTCCATGTATATTGATAGCATCCAATCTGAGAAGGCGATGGCATTGTAGCATGGCAGTCTATGTGTGCCCCTTCCTTCCTGGTGCTCTCACCACCAACATTTGGTAGTGCAGCTTTAAGGCTTAGCAAGATAGTTTGCAACACTTTTAAAAACAACAACAGGGTAGCTAAGGGAAAGGATATTTTATCTGTATTTTGATGACTTGGAGCATTATTTAAAAATGTGGTCTTTTCCCTTTTTAATCCTGGTGATCCTGACTACTGCATCCCTCAGCTCAACTCATGGTTCAGAGATAAGTAAGCAAGTATTATTCACCATGCTGATGGAGGCTGGTGGAAGCTAGAATCCAAAACAAGTGAAGAACTCTAGAAATTCTCCTTTCCCCACTTTCACTGGGGATAAATCTAGAATGTCTTACCCTCTTCGTGTCACTGTTTCTAGTTCCCCAGTCCTTGCCCAGTACTCCCCATTACAGTCAGACATCTTTGACTGGATGACAATTTTATGGCCATCTTAAAGTCTTCCCAAGAATAAAAATCCATGTACCATGATAGTCCCCTTAGTTCCCCATACAGATGCGAAATATTCTGTCGGTAGCCAAGTTTATCCCTCCATAAGCCAGTTCAAAAGAGAGGCCAAATGAGAGAAATAAAGGGACCTTACTGAGGTTATTCCCATTCTGCATTCTTGGTGGCTTTTGTGTCTAATGCAAAAGCAATTAAGACGCTGACAAACAGAGGCTTTAAATTATTCAGCTATTAAGGAAAGTGATAAGCTCAAAGCAGCCTGACTGTATGATTAATCAGCTGGGGCTGGGATTTAAGCAATGTGTAGAAGAGAGACATTTGGTGCTTGTCGCTGCCAGCCTGCTCCTTTTCTCTTTTAAAGGAATCTTCCACCCCCAAAAAGATGCCAGTAACAGTACTCGAGGGAGAGAAAATCCCAGAAAGCAGCAGCTGAGAGGAGCTGGCAGCTGGATGATTGGGGAGAGAGATGAATTTTGAGCACCGGCTGGCAAGATGAACAGGAAACACCAGCCCCACTGACAATTATTGTTCTACTCCACCTCTCATATGCATTTTTAAGAGATCACATGTCACTCTTCCCTGACAGAGGATATCAGTACTAAAAAGCAGTCAAGATATATACTTGAAATATTTTACAAGAGAGCAGCAACTAAATTTCCATCATCTTATCACCAAGGAAATGGAAGACAGCTTCATCATGTTTAGTCAGGAGCCCAAGATATTACCAAATATGTTATCAGGCCCCGGAGTCTTGCCCAAAAAGATGGATAGAGGAGAGAACAGCACTCCACACCTTTGTTAGCTCACACGAACATCCCTTCACCTCTCATCTGTTTCCTGATGCAACTCCTCTGGGAAATGCTCAAATATATTATGTATGAATTCTGGGCCAATTTCCTATGTATTCTCTTGAATATATCAGTTGTCACCTTTGGCTTCCCCATCAGCTGTACTGATCATTATACAAATATATTTCCAAGAGTATAAAGGCACCACTCTTCCATGTGTACCCTCAGGAGATAGAAAAGACCAGCTCTTTGCCCTTCACTATCTGGAATGTGGTCCAGAAGAAATTCCTCATTCGCAACCGTGCCATAATACTAAAATAAAATGGGAGGCTCTACTTTCATTAAGTATTATCATAGAATTATATCCAGTTTTCAAGTTATCCCAGGTTCTCCAAGTCAGAATGGCTGTGAATGTGAATGTTTACACATACAATATCAAGTTTTGCATCATGTTATGGAGATATTGCCCCTAATTGTCTGGGGTTAATGGGCTCAGGTGGTATTCTGAAAACACATGAGGTAGGTTCTCTTGTAAGTTGGCTGTTGAAGAAACATTGTGAGTAATTTTCTCTTCACAGAGAAACTCCTTAGGAAAAAGCAACTTGGATCAAAAAGCAATGGGAGCTTATATTTATTCTCATCCTTCTGGAGTCCACTGTTTCTTTGGCTCTGAGTTAAGCAAATGCTGGTTGTTGCATAAACAAATGTCATGACATATTTTGAGAAACAACATCTAATCTCCTGTGTGCATTTAGTTCTATGTTATCTTTACAGTTGTCTGATCTAACCCCAAAGGATCATTACAGATCATTTGCTTGACCAGGAGACAAAAAAACCAGTGCTTGTTGTTAATTCTGTTTAAAGAAATCTACTAGCTTTCTTCTAATTGTGACAACAGTTCTGACAAATACAATTTCAAGGATCTGGCTAAATTCCTACTGGTACTTCTCACAGATAATTATTTAGGGGTTGGCTTTTTGCTCATTCCAATTCCTTTTAGAATGAAATAAAAAGAAAGCTGGTAAAAGGGCTTTCAGTTAAATGTTTGGAATACGTATCTCTCAATGTTCCGGTTTAATGGATTGTGGAAGCTCTACTCTAATGCAGCACAATGCCTATCATAAACCTGTTATATATTGTTGGACACAAACCAGAGGGCACATTCTGGTTGAATCAATATGATTTCCCCCCCTTCTAACAGTTAGCAATTATTAAAGCTAAATTACCTGCAGGCGTGCTGGAATCCATGGTGGAACTGAATCAAATATAAACTAGAACATAGAGGGAATCTCCTGGGACACACAAGCAGCTCTGATCAGAGGATAAAATAGTATATAAAGAAATCAGGAATTTGATACAGATACTGTAGTTTACCAGAGTATGGGGTACCCTTCCTTAGCCTGGTGCCAGCTAGAAGGTTGCAGTCCAGAATTACCAATCAGAATGCCAAACCAGCTGACAGTTTGGAGAATATCTGATTGGGAAAGGCTGGTTTGAGAAATTTCCTATTCGAGTAATGGTAGAATGAGGAAAATCCAGCTGTACCTTTGACCTTACATCTTGAATAAAAGCTGCAAATATCTCTGACACAGCCCCACAAACATTTCTAAGTAAAATCCACATGCAGTATATCTGAATTTTAAAACAACTTGTTCTGCTGAAATAGGGGTGGGTATGCAACTGAATTGCTGGACTACTGTAGGAAAACATTAGTTATTTGACAGTTCCCCCCCCCCCAGGGCACACGAGAAACAATCTCATGGGAATTTGTTTCATCAAAGTTTCTTTTTAGTGATCTAAAGTTGCAGCAGACCTCGTCCAAATGTTTAGTGCATTTTTTGCCTGAAGGATACAGGATACCCCAAACAGCAATTGACATCTAAAAGCTTTGCAAGGATTCAGAATCTCGGCAATCAGCCTTAGTGCTTCCATTGCTGCATTTTCAAATATTAGACTCTATTTGTGCCTCATTTCCCTTAATAACTGTAATGTTCTGCCTGGTAGGCAGGATTTGATGATAAACCTGTTAGTATTAGGCTATCAGTCACTGTACTGTCATGGCTCTTTTATAAAACTCTTAGAGATAAATAAAGGGAGCCCTTAACATTTAAACAACATCGGCACAGTTTCTTCCATCTTGGGAGAAGGATTACTGTATTATTTCTGTGAGGTTTGTTCAGGCAGACAAAACAGAAATACATTTCCTTTCCTCCTTCTTACTTTTTCAAAGATCAAGGACCTATGGGGTGAGGAGAAAATACTTTTACCTCTTCAAGCACCTGATGTAAATCACAACCTCATTTTTCAAGGATTCCTAACTTGCATAATCTTCATAAGGTTTAATATGACATGCAAATAGGAACAAATAGCTTTATTTGTGGTTTCTTAATGTGACTTGCTTAAGCTGTTAACCAGTCCAGAGTTTACAGCAGATGAAAAGGAGAAGGAGGAGAAGTAGAAGGAGTAACAACAGCTAAGCAGAAACATTATGTATAGTTTGCAAATCTGCACAACTGACTCTTATTTCTTGCTTGCTGAACAGATTATGATTAAAACAAACAAA